TTCTTGGTGACATCATCTGCAGACATGGGGTCAACTTCCACATGTATGCGGATGACATCCAACTGTAGTTCTCTGCCTCCACCCTTGACTCCAGGACCACTGCTGTCCTGACAGAATGTCTGTTCAGACATCAAGTCCTGGATGAGAGCTAACTTTCTTCCATTGAACGTCAACAACACCGAGGCCCTCCTGATTGGCTCCTGTCAGCGCCTCCACACCTCAGACGCTGACAGCATTACCATCCTTGGATGCACACTCCACCTTACTAAGCCAGTCCCGAACCTTGGCGTCTTGTTTGACACTCAACTATCCTTTCTACCCCACATCTGTGCCATGACCTGCTCTGCCTTCCCCACCTCCACAACATTGCCCAGCTCTGCCACTGTCTCACACCGCAAAACTCTCATACACGCATTCATAACATCGAGGCTTCACTATGCAAACTCTTTGCTTGTCGACCTCCTCAACTCCTACCTCCATAGGCTACAGATCATCCAGAACTCTGCAGCCTGTGTCCTCTCTCGCACCAGGCTCCGTGATCCTATCACCGTCATCCTCACCCGACTCCACTGGCTTCCCATCACAGAGGATACAGTTCAAGATCCTGGTCCTCACCTTGAAAGCCCTCCATGGCCTCGTTTCCCCCTGCCAACCTGCGCGCTCCCTCCACTCAGCAAGCCTGCTTCATGTCCCCCGCCGCTCGCCCCACCATTGGCAGGCGAACCTTCTGCCACTCTGTTCCCACCCTCTGAAACTCCATCACGCAGTCCCTCCGCCTCGCCTCCTCCCTTGCCTCCTTCAATACCCATCTCAAGATCCTCCTCTTTGACCGTGCTTTTGATCACCCTCCTTCCCCCCTGCCCTCCACCCTCCCCAATTCCGACCCCCCGCTCGGGTCCGAAACACTGACTTTCCAGTGCCTTGGGATGTCCTCCCGACGTAAAAGGTGCTATATAAATGGAATTTTGTATTGTGTCCTTTAAACAGGTTTCAGAATATTTCACATTGCAAGTTGTTAAGGTATTAGGGAGTACGATTTACATATACATGTATGTGTCATGTGTCAGCTGGGCTCATTGATAGTACCTTCACCTCTGAGTCAGAAAGTTGTGGATTCACGTCCTTTGTTGTCTAAGATGACTCACCAATGCAATGCTAGGGGTGGGTTGCTGTCGGAAGTGCTATACTTCGCTTGTTCAGGTGGATGTTAAAGATTAGATGGCACTATTTGAAAAGAGGAGTTTCTCCCGTGACCTAGTCCTCCAAATAAAATTGGTCATTCATTTCATGGCTGATTGTGGAACACTGCTGTGCACAATTATGCTGCCAAGTTTGCCTACAAATATGAAGTCACTCCATTTTCAAAGCAAGTCGTGCAGTAGACTGATTGGTGGGATTTACAATATTAGGTTTGCCAAATGCAATCTTCAGTTCCAAAATCCCATCGCTTTAAATAACTGATCATTTCACCGCATTATTCAATCATCAGTTATGGATTTTCTTTGGATCCGAAAATATCACTAATTTTAATTATACAAATGGAAATATTTAGCAATACTGATTTTTTGTGTACAAATTAAGCATGTGGTTGTAACTTTGTTTTCATGGTGAAGTAGACATTGTTGATAGATGCAAAGCCACATACAGTATTTACCTCTTGAGGAAAAAGAGTTCAAAGACACAATTCCTCTTACAATTGTGGTTCTGTTTAGTTTAATGTCAAGTATCTTTAAATTACCCAAATAAAAATGGTTCTTTTTATTAATCCTGTATATTTTCAGCAAAAATGTTGCTTTCCGTCTACAAAATACTAAAAACTTCTCAGCCTTGACATCTTCAAAGCTGCCGTCTGAAAATGTCCAGGCCATACTGCAGCTCCACTGGGTTTGTGCCTAGCATGGGCAGTTTTCCAAGCCAGGTTGACCTGCATCTTGGTCAAAATTTAAGTTTCCTGGAATTTTGAGTCATCATCAGTCATTGGCCCATCAGTACAAACCAGGAAATGTCAGGGCGGCTGGTTGGCCTTCAGACATCCACACCCTTGTAAGAAAGAACAAGTGCTCGAGGACTTAAACGTAATTACAGTGTGTATTAATCAGACCGGTGTTGTCATTTCCTATTACAGGGATTGCAACCAATTCCAGCTACAGGATAGGTGCGGGGAGGAGTGGACAATCCCAGCCTCGAATGACTTACCTGTAAGTCAGCAACGTCTCCCATGATTCAGTGTCTGCGCGATACCTGGCAATCACAGGACCACACTCACAGCCGTGCAACGGTCTCACACGACCCTCCCAAACTAAACGAGGCAGAGACCCGGCCTGATGGCTTCCCCCCCACCCCTCCCCGGGTCAAAACCTTGCCTTTGTTGTCCAGTACAGTATCGAGCGTTGCCTCAGGGAACTCCGGCTAAAGTTTTATTTCTTTTGAATGGATTGTGCGCGGGGGTGGGGGGGGGGGGGTGTGTGTGTGTCTGTATGCGGATGTGTGGGGGTGGGGTTGTGTGTGTGTGGGGGGGGGGGTGTGTGGGGGGGGATTGTGTGTGTGTGTGTGGGGGGGATTGTGTGTGTGTGTGGGGGATTGTGTGTGTGGGGGGGGGTTGTGTGGGGGGGGGATTGTGTGTGTGTTTTTTTGTGTGGGGGGTTGTGTGTGTGTGGGATTGTGTGTGGGGGGGGGTGTGTGTGTGGGGGGTTGTGTGTGTGTGGGGGGTTGTGTGTGTGGGGGGTTGTGTGTGTGGGGGGTTGTGTGTGTGGGGTGTGTGTGGGTGTGTGTGTGTGTGGGGGGGGGTTGTGTGTGGGGGGGTTGTGTGTGGGGGGTTGTGTGTGTGGGGGTGTGTGTGTGGGGGGTTGTGTGTGGGGGGGGGTTGTGTGTGGGGGTTGTGTGTGTGTGTGGGGGGGTGTGGGGTTGTGTGTGTGGGGGGGGTGTGGGGTGTGTGTGTGGGTGTGTGTGTGGGGTGTGTGTGTGGGGGGTATGTGGGGTTGTGTGTGGGGTGTGTGTGGGGGGGTTGTGTGTGTGGGGTTGTGTGTGGGGTTGTGTGTGTGTGTGTGGGTGTGTGTGGGGGGTTGTGTGTGTGTGTGTGGGGGGGGGGGGGTGGGGTTGTGTGTGGGGTGTGTGGTGGGTTGTGTGTGTGGGGTTGTGTGTGGGGTTGTGTGTGTGTGTGTGGGTGTGTGTGGGGGGGTTGTGTGTGTGTGTGTGTGTGTGGGGGGGTGTGGTTGTGTGTGGGTGTGTGTGGGTGTGTGTGGGGGGTGTGTGTGTGGGTTGTGTGTGGGGTGTGTGTGTGTGTGGGGGGGTTGTGTGTGTGGGGGGGTTGTGTGTGGGTGTGTGTGTGTGTGTGTGTGGGGTTGTGTGTGGGGTTGTGTGTGTGTGTGTGTGTGGGTGTGTGTGGGTGTGTGTGGGGAGAGGAACCGCTGGAGACAGTAGGAATGATAAAAACACGCGAATGGATCCGAAGCGGCCGGAGCTTAAACCCCATTGTCAACCACAACCTCTGACACTGACGTCTCTCCCTCTCCCCTCTCCCGCGGCCGGAAGTCCCACCTTTCGCGGACATTGGTCCCATCGGGAAACTCATGGGCGCGTCGGCGGACGGGGTTAGGGTGGGGGGCGGGGTTAGGGTGGGGGGCGGGGTTAGGGTGGGGGGCGGGGTTAGGGTGGGGGGCGGGGTTAGGGTGGGGGGCGGGGTTAGGGTGGGGGCGGGGTTAGGGTGGGGGCGGGGTTAGGGTGGGGGCGGGGTTAGGGGGGGCGGGGTGGGGGGGGGGCGGGATTAGGGTGGGGGGGCGGGGTTAGGGTGGGGGCGGGGTTAGGGTGGGGGCGGGGTTAGGGTGGGGGCGGGGTTAGGCAGCAGGGTGGGGGGCGGGGTTAGGGTGGGGGGGCGGGGTTAGGGTGGGGGGGCGGGGTTAGGGTGGGGGGCGGGGTTAGGGTGGGGGCGGGGTTAGGGTGGGGGCGGGGTTAGGCAGCAGGGTGGGGGGCGGGGTTAGGCAGCAGGGTGGGGGGCGGGGTTAGGCAGCAGGGTGGGGGGCGGGGTTAGGGTGGGGGAGCGGGGTTAGGGTGGGGGGGCGGGGTTAGGGTGGGGGGCGGGGTTAGGGTGGGGGCGGGGTTAGGGTGGGGGCGGGGTTAGGCAGCAGGGTGGGGGGCGGGATTAGGGTGGGGGCGGGGTTAGGGTGGGGGCGGGTTAGGCAGCAGGGTGGGGGCGGGGTTAGGGTGGGGGCGGGGTTAGGCAGCAGGGTGGGGGGCGGGGTTAGGCAGCAGGGTGGGGGCGGGGTTAGGGTGGGGGCGGGGTTAGGGTGGGGGGCGGGGTTAGGGTGGGGGCAGGGTGGGGGGCGGGGTTAGGCAGCAGGGTGGGGGGCGGGGTTAGCCAGCAGGGTTGGGGGGGGCGGGGTTAGGCAGTAGGGTGGGGCGCGCGCGTGTCAATCACTCCGCTTTTGCTCCGGTCTCTCGCGCGCCAGCCGGTATACAGAGCGGAGTGTGCGCACGCGCACCTGCCTGTCCTGTGTGTCTCGTGAAGCTCGCGCTGAGAGACTCGCCCGTCTTTGAATCGTTGTGGTGAAGGGGGGGGGGGAGAGGCGGGGGGTACGTCACGTGACCGCCGGACCGCCCCCTGCCCGCGCCTGCGCATTTACTTTGCATCGACCTCATTGAGCGGTGGAAGAGAGAAGCGCGAGCGGAACTGGAGCGAGACCGCGGGACGACCCAACGGCCGCCGCTCGTGCATCACCGTTCAGCCGAGCAAAGGGGACGAGGGGGGAAAAAAACGGCCGCAGTCTCTCTCTGTATATCTACCACCCGTTTACGGCCGTTATGACAACAATAGTGTCGGTGTGAAGGTTACATCGAGAACCAGCGAGAGGGGTTTCTTCCCCCCACACTCCCTCCCTCCCTCTCTCTCTCTCTTCCCATTCCTGAACTTTTCCGCCGCCACCATCCTGATCCTCCTCCTCCTGATCACAGACACGTAACGTACATTTATGTGAGAAACGGAGGGAAGAATTTAGCTTCCCCGCCTCTCTCTCTCTCTCTCTGTATATATATAATCTATATAACCCAGGAGTGTAAGGATGCCGGACCAGATCACAGTGTCGGAATTCGTGGCCGAGACCAACGAAGATTACAAATCGCCAACAGCCTCCAGTTTCACCACCAAGATGAGTCAGTGCAGGAACACGGTGTCTGGCTTGGAGGAGGTAGGTGCTCGGCTCGTTTCCTTTCCCACAATAAACTTCTCCCCGGTTTAGACACGTACACCGAGAGAGAGAGAGAGAGAGAGAGACGGGCGTCCCAGGCTGAGGTGGGCTATTTGCCGATTTCTTTCTCTCTTTCTTCACCGATGAGCCGTTTTGCAGCCAATCCTTCGCATTTGGTGCAGCGCCCGTTCCAACGCCTTCGGAGCTGTTTCACGGGGTTACACTGTACGCGATTGGAGTGTTAAGTGACTGTGAAGCATGTTGTCGTCGGCTTGGAAAATGGGAAGCGACGCCCAGAGGAGGGGAGGGGGGGGTGTAGGTTGCCGGGCTCCCGGGGAGCAAGTGCGAGCGGCGGGGGGTGGGTGGGGGTTGTTCCTGGAGAACCCCAGAGATTGCAGAGAAATAGCGATTGAAGAGTACGAGTCTCACTGAATGAAGGTTATTGAATTGGAGGAAAGTGAAATAGACAAATAATGCGCTGGAAATGTTTGTGAAATGTGAGACCCGAAATCCCCTTTCCCCAGTCCTGCCTTTATAAGTTTAGGTTGTACAGATATTTTTTCGTAATATCCTGAGACGTGTAGTTTCGGCATTTAGTGTCGTTTAATAGGATTAACTATGCAGTAAAGAATGAATGAATGAAATGTCAATGGCACTAAATACGTAGAGTGGTTGTTGTTTTTTTAAATTGTATTGTGCATTGAAGTTGGACTTTGGAAGTGTATCTGGAAAGGAGCCAGGTTAAAAGTGGCTTGTAAGGTTTCTATTCTCTTTCTGGTTTGGTTTGGCTGAGTTCCACCTCTCCAGATAGGAAGGCAGGTCTGATAATAGTGATGCTGTCAAGTTTTCAGGTACATTATTTCCCCCCAAACACACACACACACACCATACCGTGTATGTGCGCGCTGTTTTTCTTTCTTTGTTTCATTTGCTTTACTCACAATAGTCGCTCAAACTGACGTTGACATGTTTAAGCAAATCTCGATGCGGAATAAACTTGAAGGTGTTATCTTGGCGGCTTTGGGTGTTTCCAGTTGACGCGATGGTACCGATTGAGTGTTATCGGTCACTAAATTGCCGGCGACTTGGTATTTATTGGTGGTGGTGATAATTCGTGATTAAAACCAATTTCAGCACAAAAACTGGTGAAGGGATAAAATAGCCCTTTGTTTGGCTAATACTATGTGGAGAGAAACTCGCCAATGATGATCAATATATGTATATAGGTGTAAGCGACGTAACTCGTATATGGTACTCAAAATTACCTTTTATTATCATAGGCGTGGTGTTTTCAGTGTTAGATTAGATGCTATTTTAAAACAGCATTGATCGTTAATAATCATTTTTTTAAAATATAAACATTGATACTGATGTACGTGGATATGATTATAAACACTTTTGTATTGACCGTAACGATTTCAGGTGCTGCATAAACAATCAGATTTTGATGTAGAATCGCAAACCAGGCTTTGCTTGCAATGTAGCAAATTGTACTGCAATGCTTGGCATTCTGGCATTACGGCAGAGGCAGGGCTCAGCAAGGCAGTTTTATTTTTAGTTGGGGGAATATCGTTGGGACCTACTATCATGTAGCTGTAGTTTTCGTCATATTGTTTGTTGTCATAGTGGCAGCAATGTGAAGCATAGTGTTGATTTGTTACTGTTATTAACGCCTTGGGATGTCCTCCCGACATGAAAGGCGCTATGCAAATGTAATTTTGTTGTTGTTGTAGGAAGCTTTTCTAACTTTGTGCAGCATCTTAAAGGTATTATGTATAATATAAATAATCCTTGCATTTGATATAGCACTTTTCATGTCTTCTGGATGTCTCAAAGAGCTTCACAGAATATACTGTAAAGTGGATTGATTGTATATTTGTGGGTGAAACGCGGCAGCCAATTGCGCACAGCAGTGTCCCACAAACAGTCGTGGATTGAAGTGACCAATTTATTTTTTTCTTGAGGGATTATTATCAGGCGTGTGGAGTAAGGAAACTTGCCCAAGGTTTTGCCCTGCCGGGAATCAAACCCAGGTTTCTCACTTGCGAGGCGAGTGCTCTAACCACTGAGCTACAGGACTTCACAGCTACACTATAGCATTAATATACAGAATAAAAATCTAAAATAGACTAATTTTGAGATGTCTCGAAGACGTAATAAGGCGCTACATCAAATGCAAGTATTATTATTTTCATTTATCCATATTTAGATTTTAATTTTAAAGAAATTTATTTTTAAAGAAATATACCAATAATGGTTAATTTGTCTGATAGGGTTACAGCATGATAAATCATCCCATTGTATTTAATGCAGACTGAAGTGGTATTCAAATTTTTGAAACTTTTACCGTTATCCTGTTTCTCTCTGGCACCTTTTTTTTGGTCTGAAATACTGCACACTGTTCAGCGCCTTGGGATGTCCGCCCGATGTGAAAGCCGCTACAAATGTAATCTTGTTGTTGTTGTTGCCCCATTCTAATTTCCTGAAGATACAAGAGTATGCAGGGAATTACACAATTTCACTCCTGCTAAGTTGCCTCATATATCCCACTCTGGTTCTCTTCCCATCACTCTCTTCACTGCCTCGTGCGCTGCCTGATACCTCCTGCTCCACCTCTTCCCAATGCTATTTGCGCTGCCTCCGAAGGAAGCTCAAGCCTCCTGCTCCAGCTTTCTTCCCATCACTCTCCATGCTGCCCCCGGGACAGATACAGAGCTGGAGCAGGAGGTGTGAAGTAGCGCAGAGAGCAACGGGACGAGAGCTGGAGTGGAAGGTATGACTCGTAAATAATTGTGGTATAAATTTAAATAAATGCGCTATATAAAATTAATAAAAACTGGCCTCCATATCTTTCTAAAGAGGCTACAATCTGTTTTGAAATTGTTAAAAGTGTAATTTTGCATAATTTTCATTTTTTGTTTGCATTATTTCTATTTAATGTCAGCATAATTCCCTGCGTTATACTCCACCAATGAGCCCTCTTTGGAGTGCCTCACCAAAGTGGTTCATTCTTCACGTGTGATTTTAGACCGTGAATGTCATGTTGGAGGGCATCATAGCAAAGTCTGATCTTGTTCTCATCTGCAGTCCGCACAGGCATTTTCAGAAAGGGTCACTCGATAGAGATCAGGGGCAGGAACCTTGCCTTTTTTAAATCCCTTTATGGTTTAGGGGCACTCAAACTAATTGTGGCATTCTGGTTGACATGAGCAATTCAGTGTAGATTGTGAATGGATCCTGCACTCAATATGAGGATCACATAGCACTTTTAACCACTTTTTTTAAAGAAACTATCAATTTTAATATTTTAAAATGAACATTTTTTTGGGGTCTCTGTAATCCATCAAATTTAATATTGGCAATTTATATATTTCACTCAATCTGAATAAATTCCTAACTCATCCATAACCCTTTCTTTGTTTTTTGTTTTCTCTTTACACTGCATTTCCCACTGATACAATTTTTAAAAAAGCCTCATAGTAAGATAAATAGTTGATTATTTTTTTCAAAAAATCATTTGACACCAGTTACTTCTGTGTCCATCATGAGAGATGAATCAAATAAATGGAATATTTGCTACAGAGCAACTGATTTTTATATATGGTTGTTTGCTCCGTTTGTCTGAGAATGTCATTGCTGGTGAACCTAGGCAAGGCAGATACCACAGTTTGAAAGGAATGCTTGAACAGTTGAATTTTAGCAGAAATGTGAGCTGTTGAGAATCAGAGCTGTGACTGTTGTATCTGTTGTCTTCTGCCCATCATTATTAAAATCAAAATGGTGGGTTAGGGTCATCTCTGTAGTGAACTTTTTTGGGGGTGGGGACAACAAGAAATGGGGACAATGTTTAAAATGACAGTTCCTTTAATTGCTCAGTTCCTTGAAACAAATGAATATTTTTAGATTTTAATGAGAAATATGAACATAGGAATGTTCAGGACGAGAAAGGACAATTACAGTTTGTCATTGTACTTTTCAGATACAATCTCCTTAACTCACAACACAACAAAAAAAGTCCATAACTCATTATTCTGGCTTTATCTGTTGATTTGAGTCGAATTTGTCTATATCCCTGAGGATCTGAAATAGTTCACCTGATTACCATTGAAATCAACACTGATCGTTTTAGAGGGTTTGGGGGGAAAATATCTTTCCTCGAATTACAATTTTCCTTTTTGTTCACAAAAAATGAAATTAATGTACATATTGTCTTCCAGAAAATAAACTTAACAAACATAAGTCAGTGACCTTAGTCAGTACCCTTGCACTTTAACTTCAGTTCCTGCCTAACTGCAAGCTCCTTACCTCACAGGATGTCACAGCTCAGTTTCCCATGCAATACCATGTACAAGTAAGTTTTGATTTTTTTCCATTGGATTGTGTTTTTTTTCTGATACAGGATATATTTTTTTAAAATGTTCTAATTCAGACATTGCGGCATTGTGTGTCAGAGGGTCACCATGGCAACTTGAACATTCACTGGGTCCTAAAGCATTGATGCCAATTGCCCATTACACATTTTTAAAAAAAGTGTGCCTTAAGATGAGAGTAAATCTGATATTTGTGAGTTAAATTAGTATTTCATGGGATATAATTTACAAATTGCTGATGTACTTTTAAAAAAATCAGTTTGGGCTATTTATAGAAACCGTGGATCTTTATTGATATTCCTAGATGGTCCTACCAAGAAATGAAATTAGTAGTGCTAGATTGTTTGAACTTGAGGAGTGAAACAATAGCTAAATATCAGAAATTGTTGACTAGCCACAGGTGTTGCTACAGCGACACCATTTTACCTCATGCACTATGTTTGACAGAAAGCGGCTCACATATACTCACAATATAGGTAAATGTACTTCATGTATGTTTACATGTATACAATAAAACTCACATAGATCGTAACATTTAATATGACTTGCACGAAGTCCGAGTTGCAGGCTAACAGGGTTGTAGGTTGTATAAAATCCGATTTAATCGATCTACACTGCGTATGCGTAATT